GCTAACACGTCGGATTAAACAGAAAGGAGAATCTGGTCTCAGGTCCGGAGCGATTCGTACCGAAACAGTATCGCTTTAAAAACGGAAATAAATTTGCATATATCCTTTTTCCTTCCTCAAAAATAGAAAAACGAATATAGCTGCGGGAACGCTTTTCACTGATCACCTGTCACACTGAATCATCATACCTGGTAGGTAGTGGCGTCCTTCACCATTCGATAGTCGATCGCACCGGGCTGAATCGAGTCGATTAGGTCGACGACGATCTTCGCGTCGCTGATCACCGGGTCCTGGAAGCTGTGCAAAGACGACGCTTTGCCTTGTGATGCTAGTTTCTTGTTCGCCCAGTCGATTATTTCACGATCGGTTGCCAAAGTACCTGACTGTGTACAGTTCGCCAGGACTGTAAGTGTGTATGCTCGCATCAACTGCCAGACAAGTGCTACAAATATAGTTAATCAATTAATTTAAAAGATGCAATAATCAATTAATAAATTAAAAATAAACACGAAGCGGTCAAGCAAGAATAGCCTTACACATAAACTAAGCTGACCATATGGAATAGAACAAAAATCGAAATGCTATAATTGTGAGACTATATGCCTCCCATCGCTTCTGTACCTATTTTCACTTATGACCATTAATAACGGTGCTGGGGCCAAACTATGCGACGTTTGACATACGCAAGAGAAATGAATTATCTGTAAACAGCTGAAATTATGAACAGATTTGATGTGATCCGGAATTTACAATCAGTGATACCCTCAGATGTAAGCTACTCCTAATCCAGATTGATAAATCACAACAATAGTTGCTTGGACACATGGCCAACACCGCAAAACAAAGACTTAAATGGATCTACACGCCAAACCACCCGGCATGAGGACAACGAATAGATACAGATTGTCGGACAACCAGACTACAAGAACACCTGGCTTGACGACACGTTTCAATTCACATGCAGGTAGAGCTTGCCTCATTTGCAAAGCATCAAGAGAAGTTGGTAACAAAAGCTAGAAAAACCAATGCTTAATAAAGAATCTGTAACTTTAAAGAAATACTTGGCTGAGATGGTAGGCTGACAGACAAACAAACAAGAATCAAAGTACAATTAAAACTACAGTATATGAAACAAACATTCGTATCATAGCTTGCCGTTCGTACCTAAAGTGAGCGTACGGTTGCCATCGTAAATGTCCTTTCCTTGGATGCCGACCAGCGAAAACCTGATCTGCTTGCCCAGATCGACTGCGTAATTGCAATTTTGGATTTGGTCCATCATGCAACGCATTTTATGAAACTTCACCACAACCTTCTTCCAGTCGACCAGTCCTTGCTTGATTATGTCGTACAGCTGTAAAGAAAACAATGCTTAAATACGACTTCGCAAAGTACCTGAATGATCTGCGCAATTTTGACGTTTAAACCCATCCGAATAGGATCACATAAGTCAGTCGGGGCAATAGATAATTAGTGGATATTTTCACTGACGTTGTAGCTACAGGATAAAAATACGCTTGAAGCGATGGTACCCTGTTGATTACTCATGAACCATAATGACGACATAATTCCCTTCGACCTATCTGACATAAGATGTACAAAATCAACACAAGGTGTGAACCGCAAATTTCAAGTTAGCCAGACAAATTCATCAATCCGGAATTCACACCCGGCAAATCATGTCTCTATTATTTTATCGGTCAGTCGGTCGGTTGGTCGGTCGATGACGGCTTATCCTTTCTAGTGGCGGAGGTGGCAGCGACAGACTGTCTCCAACGTTTATGATCCTCTGCTGGCGTCTGAGGTTCCGCCGTAGAAAACACGAGTTTGGAGCAGAATTGGTGGATACACTTACCTCATATAATTCTTGGCCGTCTCCAGAGTTTTCGCCAAGATCGCCTCGCCCGTGCAAGTAGCGATCGAGCAATGAGATCAGTACGAAATTATTTTTTTGGCTTCTGGTTTATGGGAACATTTTTCAAACAAGTGAGTTTATCGCAATCTCTAAAATGTCTAAAACAGCAGCAGCACCCATGAGTTAGAATGCGGGAAGCCTTGGGAAGTATATTCCAAGAAACAGAAACTTCTTTAAGTGCATGATGAAATAAAAAATCAATTCGACATACCCATGAAAATAAAATGATTTTATTGCTTCGAAAAGACTCTGGGTCACCTGATCATCGTCTTTGTCGTCTGAAGACTGCGTGAACTCCTGATTCTACGAAAGCAGATAAGAACCGTACATTGCTGTAGTGATGATTTAACAATTTATAGACTGCTTATATTAATACCTTTACTAAAGTCGCCTTACGTTTGTTGCATGGTTTACTTTACTGGTTTGACAAATATCAGCACGACGTGTAAATATCTGCGCAACGTTTTCTTTACATTACACCAGCAAATCACATGTCATAAGGCGAACAATACTCTAGAGTTGGATCTGGAGCTTTGACTTATTTATACACAGGCATTCTGAATAAATCAGATTGCTTACCTGGAAAATGACAATGCCATTGCTCAAGTCTGAATAAAGCCAGTTAACGGTTGGCTGTACTCCCATCGAATTCATCCAATTGCGGTACGTCATCTCCTCACGAGTCTCTTCAAGCGCCTCTTCCATGTCGGCTACAAAATATTTATATCAGGGTTTAGTGGCGTGCACCGAGCGACGATCCGCGGTTTACTCACTCATTTCCTCCTCTCCGGGCGGCTCGAGGCCTGGCCACGAGTTAAATAGGTTGGCGACGAATGCCAGGTTCAGTTTATATACGCCGTTCACCACGTCCTGGGGAGTCACGAACGACCGACAATCAAGCTTTTCTGCTTCCTTCAGCATTGCCTCTGCCCTCAACAGGCTATCCTTTACGAGAAAACAAGATAATTTCCAAACCAAGTCCAGAAAGGACCACAAGTTCACTGCTTACATAGACACCCAACGGCTCCAGGCTGACGCGGCGTTCCGGGGGAGCGATCTGCTTCAAAAGATGAGTGTAGATAACCGAGTCTTGTACATCCCCAGTGAAATTCGTCAGCCGACGGTCGACTCCAGAATTTTCAAGGTGGTAGTTCACCCAACGGATAAGAATCTGTTCCGGTCCCAACTTCTGCAGATCCGCCAAACTTTCATCTTTGCCCAGCAGTCTGAACAATCCAGGAACATGAACCAAATTAATCGTACTAAACAGGCCTAAAACACAAACAAAATACACTCATTATCAAACTAGTTTATGAACAGTTTTCCATGTAGCAACAAATAATGAAACTAATACCCAGTTGCACGTGTCTACCTTATTCAAAATAGAACTGAGTGACATCGAATTAAGGGAGATGG